ATGGTTTTTAATTAGCAAAGTGTATGAATAGAATACTGAAGATTTTTTAATTGAAAAATATTAATGTTGCGAGTTTAATGGGCAACTGAGCTGAGCTAGATGGACATACCTGTAAATAACCTTTAAACTTTTTTTTGGAATATTTAGGCCAATTAAGGTCAGCTTACACATATCACATAAGCAAGATTCGAACATAATACATCTTAATTTAGTTAGAGCTCCCAATCAATAGACCAAAATTATTTTGTGCGGGGCTTGAACGCGTCCGAAGGCTAATCCGTGAGTGCATTGGGTGACGTGACGCGTTTGGATTAGCCTCTAGACATGTCCGAACACTGCACGTAATAATTTTTCTTGAATTTGGGCTTATTAGCTGATCTTCTATTCTTTCCCCCAACTATTGCTGCTATTAATAATCCAACCTTAAAGGTTGCTCATCAATAATCCATATAATTCATTTCATGCATTTAGCAAAGACTAATTAATCTCTTTATTTTTATGCAATTAAAATTGACATTAATGTTATATATGACAATCGCATGAATTGAAAGGACATTTTAAATAATTATTATTAATAAATACAAAATAGACATAGAGATAAAAAAATAAATAATATTTTAATTATTTATATTTGATATACCATCAAAAAGTTATCTTGGTTGGGCACAAATATTGATGCAAAATCAAGTTAGAAACTTTAAAAATTAAATCGGAGATCATCTGAACTCTGATGTCAACAAACTTACAGTCAAACTGAACGTCTCGAAGATACGAATCCAATGACATCAAATTTGACTCAATCCGAGCCCAAATGGGTTCAAATAAAAGACTTGAAGCATATTTGGAAAGTTCAAATCATAATTTTGATTACCAAATAGTTTCCAAACGTGAAATGCTTATAGTCGAATCGAGCGGATCAACGAGACGAATCCAACGAGCCCAAGATCATCAAATTTTAATATCATTAAGACATTCAAATACCAAATAAATGGTTCATGATCAAGGGAATCCACATCAGCTGTCCATTCAAACCACTACTAAATTGCCCATGATCTTCTCCTTATTTAATAGTCATGTACTCTCATAAAATTATAAATATACCACTCATTTCTCATGATAGGAGGGATGGAAGCAAGGGAGGAGGAAGGGAGCCCAAGCAAGAAGAGAATGAAGAGTTCTCTTGCCGCCAGACTCCTCGACCACCTCCCGACCACTGACCGACGTTAGATTTTCGCCTGTCAACAGTTTTCTACCAGATGCCAGACTTCCGCCCAACGCCAGACTTCTACCTGACACCGAACTTCCGTCTATCGCTAAATTTCTACGCGACACCAGACTTTTGTCCATAGCTAGACTTTCAACGGACTTCTACCCAACACAGAACCTTTGCCCATCACCGAACTTTCGTTGGACTTCTTCCCGATGCTGAATTTCCACCCGTCGTCGGACTTCTATCCGTCACCGAATCTCTACGCGACATTGGACTTTCGCCCATCAATTGTCCTTCCGACCTCCTCCACCAGACAATAGTCTTTCTAACCACTATCGCCTGCTGGCTACAGTCCTTCCGGCCTCTGTTGCTCGCCGACTACGGTCCTTCCTACCTCTGTCCCCAGACAACGGTCTTTATGATATTTGTCGCCAGACAACGATCTTTATGACCTCCACCGCCCGCCGACTATGGTCCTTATAACCTTTGTCGCTTGCCAATTATGGTCCTTCCGACCTCTGTCGCTAAGTAACGGTCATTCGGACCTCCGTCGCCTGATGACTATGATCCTTTTGACCTCTATGACGAGACACTGGTTCTTCTGACCTCCACCACCTACTGACTACAGTCCTTCTGACATTCGTCGTCATAAAACAATCCTTCCGACCTCCGGCGCTCGTCGACTGCGATCATTCCGACCTCCTTCGCTAGATAATGTTCTTTCTGAACTCCGTCGCCTACCGATTATGGTCCTTCCAACCAAACGAACACATCAAAAATTATTCTTCATGTTTCCACCATGTAACACAATCCGTATGATGTATAATTGTTACATCAAGTCAATGTCTTCCCCCCAATAAATGGTCTTATTTGGAATCAATTGCAAATACTAGTGGATTCATTCAAACTGGGCTAGGCCTCCCTTTTTAGAGTTTTTCATGTAAAAATCTTAGTGTCTCTTATGAATGTTACACCTTCTCTTTTTGTCTATATATGTGTTGGATCTTCATACAAAACTAAGACATTAAAATCTATATTTCTCTGCCGCCGCAAATATTCCATGATGTAATAATATTTAAAAATTATTAAATTATTTTGATGATAAATTATTATATAATACGAAGAATATTTTTTTTTTTAATTTAAAAGATTTTTTCCTCTTATTATAAATATTTTACCTTATTATAATAATTAATTTAACAAAAAAAATCCTAATATCAAAAAGTTAAAGATATTTAAAAAATTAAATTTGGGCCCTCTTAGAAATTTTTTTTAGCTTCGTCATTGCAACAACGGGGAAATCCGCTCACAGAAAATAAAATAAAATAAAAAATCTTTTATCCACTTTGTTTTCTGTCGGAATTCGTCGCAACTGCCCATTGCCTACTAAACAAGCTGTAAAAGAAATGTCAAGCTAACCTTATACTTTATAACAAATTAAAAATCAGTCATTTCGCTTTGTCAAAAGGAAAAAAAACAAAACAATCAGAATTTTCTTCTTCCAATCTTTCATACACCAACTTTCTCTCTCTATCTCTAATCTGTACATCTCTGTCTACCCAACTCTATAACTCACCATGGTCGCCGGTGGCATCACCGTCGCCTTCGAAATCCAGCACCGACTCGGCGATCGTCATCTGATCTTCGAGATATCGATGTAGCAGTTCGCTTCTAATCGCATCTCGCCTCCCTCTTTTCACACACGGAATCACCTCTTCGGCGCCGTCTCGGCGCCGCCTCCGGCAGCCCTGAGCTTCTGCGGCCGTGAATCTGAGACAAAAAGCGGCGATACAGAGGAGAGGGAAGGAGAGGCAGAAAAGAGGAAGGAGAACAGGTGAGAAGCAGACAAGAGCCATCGCCACCCATCCTCGCTTCCGCCGCCAGCGCCATCTCCACCACCGCCCTTTTCCTTGATCGCCGGCTCCGATCATCTCTATTTCTGCTTCTCTCTCCTCCACCCAACTCTTCCTCTTCTCCTTCTTTCAGCTTCTACGCCACTGCTTTCCCCAAGTCAGAAGTTATTTAAACAGAGATAAAAAAAAATTATTAAAAATCTATATGTTTTTAGTTTTGATATTGTTTTTATTTTAAATATTTTTCTTCTTAAATTTTTACATAAATTACATCAAAATATTTAATATGCCGCACACGCGGCCTTTGCTTTGGTCGCCACGTGGCTAAATTCTTTACTCCGTTATTAATGCCGCAACCACTCTTTTTGTTGAATTCATTTATTTTTATTATTTTTTAAAACTAACAAAGCGTACAATTCTGTACATATCAATTTCTGGAATTTTTTATTGAATGTGGAGTGCGGACGTAGCTCTGTGTGTGCAATCCTATGGCTGACCGTCAAGTGGAGCCCACCTTGACCCCACCGATCTCTTAAGCACGTGTATTTTTTTTTACCTCGCAGCCCGACGACCCGAACTTCCCTAATAATTGAAAAAAAAGCGTGGTAATACCTATGGTTATGATTACATTTGATGGCGCGGGTTATTTACCTCAGTTAAAACTTTTTTCTCATAACCTGAAAACTCAGAAAGCAGGATAAGAGAGGAAGCTATGAAGATGGATACCGTTCTGGAGGACATCGAAGATTGGTCAAAGATGGAAGATGTTAATCAAGAGTCACAGCTTAGAGGAGGATATGTTTTGCAGCAGAATATCGAACATAGTTGGATATATTATCGGTAAATATGATATGCATGTCGTGACTTCTTTAGTGTTTAGTTGAATAATTTTTGTTTTAAAATATATGTATTGCTGGTTAGGCGGCTCCTAGGAACCGTTTGGTACCGTTTCTAAATGGTCGGTACCGCTCGGTATCACTAGGTATCTAGGTACCGATGCTATTGCGAAGTTGTGCGTCTATAGCTTCGTGTAGAAGATGAAGTTGCTTCGTGTGGAAGATAAATAATCGCCTGCAACTTCTCCTTGTGGAAGAATGTAGACAAGCAAATCGCCCGAAGAAGTAAAACTGGAAGAGACATTTCGGATCTTCTCGAAGAAATGGGTACCGTGCTTTTTTTTCAATTATTCGGGCAGTTCGGGTCGTCGGGCCGCGAGGTTAAAAAAATACACGTGCTTAAGAGATCGGTGGGGTCAAGGTGGGCTTCACGTGACGGCCAGCTATAGGATTGCACATACAGAGCTACGTCCTCACTCCACACCCAATAAAAATTCCAATTTCTGAGAAAATATTTTTCACTTTATTGACTAGCGACAATTGGAAGATATAATTTTTTATTAATTGTGAGATATGCTATGCTGCGTGCTCGAGTTTTTAGAACCACGCTTACATATTTGTTTCTTAATACTTTTATTTCTACTATGCCTGTCTAAGTTGGTTTTGGTGACATTGTGCTGTGGGTTGGCTAAAAAGGATGGTTCTCCGTCTGGTTTTATATCTGTGAACAGTAAAAATGTATAAAAATATATTTTTATTATTCACAGAAACAAAATTAAAAGGTTCTTCCCGTTCGGTGTCCGCACAGAATAATTTCTATGCACCTCAATTTAGGCATTTGGTTGACTCTTATTACACCACTTAAGGTTAATATTTCGTGTGAGACAATTTTTTTTATTGTTTTTTAAAATATATTTTAATATAAAAATTTTTCGAATTAAAAATTTTTATACTGAAAAGCTGCTTTAGAAAGCAATAAAAAATTGTATCAAACAAATAAAATCAAGTTATTTTTTTTTTTTGGAGTAAACTCATATGGCATAAGATTTCATGGATTTTAAAATAGTTGATGCTTTAGGGTTCGTTTGGGACATCTTTCTTAATGCTTTCTAAAATAGTGTTTTAGTTATAAAAACATTTTTGAATTAAAATTTTTTGTACTAAAAAACTGTTTAGAAAGCAATGAAAAAAATGTCTCTAACAAAGCCTTAATCAATCTAACTAATATTGAAATTGGTTCAACTGCTTGATTTCATTGCTGATTTGCCCTCCTTTGCTCGGCATGATAAGAATCCTAGTTATCAATTTGCTATGTATGAGGGAACTAAATAACAAGAGGTTTGTTAACACAATTCAAAGCCATTCTACTCTTTGCTATGAGATTAAGAAGACCATTAAGGTCAATAAATCGAGATGGAGAACTATCAAGAGATTATGGGCATATCATAGCTCCTATGGGAATTGATGGAGCAAAGACCTCTACAATGATGAATGTGTATTTTACCCCTTTGTGCCAAAGATTATGGCTTCGTTTGGGATGGCTTTTTTTTTTGCTTCTTAAAGCAACTTTTGAGTATAAAAATTTTAATTTTTGTATTAAAAAGCTGTTTTAAGGAGCATAAAAAAGTTGTCCCAAACGAAGCCTATGTCTTGCATCATCATGAACAGCCTTTGGCAATGTGGGGTGCAAAATGCTTTTCTTGAAGCTTTCTTTTTGGTGAAGGGGTAAAGTTTCGACGATTCTGAGTCCAAAATATTTTGATTTTCAAGTAGATATCTTGGTCAATTATTATTTTTCAATAATTGGAAACAATCACCATCATTGGATTGTTGCTACTTAATCACTGTCTTCAAACCATTATTCATCATTGGACAACCAACATCAAATTGCCACCACCTAACCAACTTTATCGAACGTCCAACACTAAGTCATAATCATGTTAAGGGGTGAGAAAATCTTCGTAATCAACGCTCACGTAGTAGAATTATTGTAATTGTACCAAGTCATGTAGTTTTTTTTTTCTTTTCCTGAGTTTTTTACATAAAAATTCGGGTGTCTCCTATTGTTGTGTCCTGGAGTATTCGTGGCGGTAGAGAAAATATATAGTTTAATGTCTTAGCATTATACGAAGATCCAGCACACAATCAGATAAGTGAGAGGGTGTAATATGAGGGTGTAATATTCATAAGAGACACCAGAGTTTTTACGTGGAAACCCCTTAAAAGGGGGAAAAACCACGGGGCCTGGCCCAGTTTGAATAAATCCACTAGAATTAGTTGTCGATTACAAATGAGGCCCTTCCTTGGGAGAAGGCCTTGGCTTGATGATACAAATATACATCATCTAGAACGCATTACGTGGTGGGAATTACAATAATCAACATAGACATGTTTATTTGGTCGGAAAGACCATTGGAGGCAACTGAAGTCGGAAGGACCGTAGTCTGCAGGAGACAGAGGTCAGAAAGATCGTTATTTGATGATGTAGGTCGGAATGACCGCAGTAGGCGAAGGAGGTCGGAAGGATCGTAGTCGGCAGGAGACCGGGGTCCGAAAGACCTTAGTTGGTAGGAGACCGGGGTTAAAAAGTCTGTTGTCTGTTGATGGAGGTCGGAAGGACCATAGTAGGTGACGGAGGTCGAATTGACCGTAGTCGATAGGAGACTGAGGTCTGAAAGATCATTGTTTGGTAATGGAGGTCAGAGTGACCATAGTAGGCGACAAAGGTCGGGAGGACCGTAGTAGGCGACGGAGGTCGGGAGGACCGTAGTCGGCAGGAGACAAGAGTCTGAAAGACCGTTGTTAGCAGGAGACTATAGGGTCTAAATGACCTTTGTTTGGTGATGGAGGTCGGAGTGACCATAGTAGGCGACGGAGGTCGGGAGGACCGTAGTTGGCAGGAGACCAGGGTCTGAAAAACCATAATAAGAGGGCGGTACTTCAGGAGAACTCTCGGCTTCAAGTGGTGGCTCAGAAGAAGTCTGAGCGTCAGGTGGTGGTATGGTGGAAGTTCGGGACTCACGTGGTGGCCTGGTGGAGCACATGGCTTTAAGTGGTGGTCCGGCATAGCAATGACGTTAGGCGGTGGTCCGGCGAAGGTGAGGGCCTCAAGTGGTGGTCCGGCAGAGCAACGGCGTTAGGCGGTGGTCCGGCGGAGCAACGGCGTTATGCGGTGGTCCGGCGGAGGTGAGGGTCCGGCGGAGGTGAGGGCCTCAAGTGGTGGTCCGGCGGAGCAACGGCGTCAGGCGGTGGTCCGGCGGAGCAATGGCGTCAGGCGGTGGTCCGGCGGAGCAACGGCGTCAGGCGGTGGTCCGGCGGAGCAACGGCGTCAGGCGGTGGTCCTACGGAGGTGAGGGCCTCAAGCGGTGGTCCGGCGGAGCAACGACATCAGGCGGTGGTCCGGCGAAGGTGAGGGCCTCAAGTGGTGGTCCGGCGGAACTACGGCGGTGGTCGAGGAGGCAAGGAAGCAAGAGTGATCTTCGATCTCTCTCTTTTTTCCTTAGGCTTCGGGAGGTCCCTTTTCAAGAGGAGATGGATATCTATTTATAAATTTCTGGAGTGGCATGGCCCATAAATAGGTGAGAGATCAAGGGTAAATGGGGAGTGGTCGGATGAATGACCGATGTTGAATCCTTTGATCATGCACCGTTCTTTAGACATTTGAAGGCCTTAAAGATGTCGGAATTCAGCAATCTTGGGCTCGTTGGATTCGTCTCGTCGAGCCGCTCGATTCGAGTATAAGTTTGTTATGTTTGGAAACCGTTTGATAATCCAATTTGTGGTTTGAACCCTCCAACCACGCTTCGGTCGTTGATTTGGATCCATTTGGGCTCGGATTGAGTCGAATTTGGTGTCGTTGGGTTCGTATTTCCGAGACGCTCAGCTCGACTGTAAGTTTGTTGAAATCAGACTTCGGATGGTCTCCGAAATAATTTTTGAAGTTTCCAACTTAATTTTGCATCGAGATTCACGCCCGTTTAAGATAAATTTTTTAACGATGTATCACCTATATTATTTTGATTCATTAGTTTTTTCATGGAACATTCGTGTAAAATTAAGACGTAAAACTCTCTCATGTACTGCCACAAACAAACTTATATTTAACCTAAATCATTGGCAAATACAATTTCGATTATCACTTATCTCTAAATTTATTGTAGATGTGGGTTGATATGTTATCAATGAAAGTATATACCAAAATAAAAAATGAAGTAAATAATATCACATCAAATTATCAAGAAATTTACTCTACAAACGATTCGACCTTCTCATCATTATTATTTATTTTAATTTAGCTATTTTATATTGATTCCTACTTAAGTTGATTCAATTATATTCGAGTGAAGGAATAAATTCAAGTTAAAAATAAGATCAATTTTAAATTAAATAAAAGCGAATTTTATTTTGAATTCTAATTTGTTTTTTTTTAATAGCAACCATATATCAATATTTATTAATGGAGGGTAACATTACTCTATATATATTCCATGGAGCTAAGTTAGTAGTGGTATTTTTCATAGTATTAAATTCAACAATATTAAATATAGACATGATTTTTTTATTAAATTTAAATAAAAATTTGAGTCTTCACATAGTGGGATATATAAAAGCTTCATGTTATTATTAATGTGTTAGTGGATAGTATTAAATTTAATAATGTGCCATTAAATTAAGCAATATTAACATCTTAAGCTACAATCCAATTGCAATGTTAAATTAAAGTCAAATTAAAGAAATAATAAAATAATTGAAATTTTTTATTTTGTTTTAAGGCCTAGAAGAATAGTAGTTAATATATTTTATTTTTTCTAAAAAATGGACATAAATATGATGAAAATAAAAAAAATCTTCGGGTCTTCTATATAATTCTCAAAATAGCTTCAAAAAAAAAAAAAATTCTCATAATAATTTCACAACTATTTTGATTGATAGTTTCAGCTGCTCTAACACTAAGATAAAATTAAAAAATAAAAAATATTAGAAACAAAAAATAGGAAATTACTTAGTCATATGTCACCAAAAATCGTTTTAATCGTGCACGAATCTCGAGGCGTATTCAAGTTGAAAACTTACAAAATTAAATCCAGGACCGTATGAGTTCTAATTTCAGCAACCTTATAGTCAAACTAAATATCTCAAAAAGACGAACCCAACAACATCAAAATTAGTAAAATCCGAGCCCAATGGGTCCAAATCGGGGGCCCGAACAACAATTGGAAGGTTCAAAGTATTATTTGGATGACAAAATGATATTCAAATATGACATGTTTATAGTCAAATCAAGCAGCTCGGCGGGGCGAATCCAACGAACCCAAGATTGTTGGATTCCGACATTGCTAAGGAACTTAAATAGTTAAAAAATACTCTATGATCGAAGGAATCAATGTGTCATCCGATGAAGCACTCCGAACCTATCCTTGATCATCTCTAAATTTACGCGGTGTGCCACTCATGAAAATCTATAAATAGATTCTCACTCTCTACAAGAGGGGGACCTGGCCTGGAGATTGTAGAGAGCTCTAAGGCTTCAATAGCTCCATCACCAGCAAATTAAACCTCCACCTGGGAGCCGCCAAACATTCACCCGGCCCCGGCCAATGACCGCCGTCCGACTTCCACCCGATTGTCATCAAACCACCTCCCGGCTGCCGACCTCCACACAACCGTCGTCAGATCACCGCCCGGCCGCCGACTGTCTCTAGAATTCCGCCCCTTCTCTTTATGTGTCTGTGTGCTGAATTTTCTTACAAAACTAAGACGTTAAATTTTATATATTTTTACCGCCGTGAATATTCCAAAATGCAACACTTAGAAAGTAGCTAATATGATTTGCTTGTATTAAGAAATAAGACTTAATATAAATACACACACGATAGCACGATGCCATGCATATATATTCTATAATTTAAGTCAAAGTTTTAAGTAGATTTTATGCTCGCAAATTGCTCATTTACATTTACATCCCTAATGATATTGTATTGTTATAGTGCTTAACAATATTGCAAACATGAATAGGAAGCCATAGTTGAAGTACTCCCAAACTCTTGAGGCTTTGGAAGGCACCACACATGTACCAAAGCTGCAGTTGTTGACCTGCATGACAAACAGCACAAATATTATATATTTTTAAAAATATGTATTTAATTTAATTATTTTGAAAAATATAACTGTAATTCAAATATTATGTTATAAGCCCACCTTGCAATTAGCAAAATTGTCACACCCACAAATCATATGCCCATTTGCTTTGTCTACTGCCTCATATGGTCCCCTTGCATTACTCTCCTGAATTTTATAAAAATTATAAAGTATAATTATCATGAAAAGCATATCCCAAATGAACATTAAAGTTTTGTTTGGAACAATTTTTCGTTTGCTTTTGTTTTAGAAAAAATAATTAACAAAAAATAATGTATGTTTGATGACAGCTTAATTTTATATAATTTTGAAATTTTTATCATTAAAGTTTTGTTTAGGACAGCTATTTTATTGCTTCTTAAAGCAGCTTTTTAGTACAATACTAGAAAGCTCTTTTAAGAAGAACTAAAAGAGTAAAAGGCTTCATTTGGGATGGCTTTTTTATTACTTCTTGAAACTGCTTTTTAGTACGAAAAATTTATTCTTTATATTAAAAACCTGTTTCAAGAAACAATATAAAAGCCATCTGGGACGGCTTTCATACTGCTTCTTAAAGCAGCTTTCTAGTAAAAAAATTAATTAATTTTTACTAGAAATGTGTTTTAAGAAGCAGTAAGAAAGACGTCTCAAATGAAAGCCTATGGCTTCGTTTGGGACGGTTTTCTTATTGCTTCTTAAAGCAGCTTCATATTACAAAAATTTTAATTTTTATACTATAAAGCTGATTGATGAAACATAAATAAAGTCGTCCCAAACGAAGCCTAAAACTAGGGTTGAAAAAGAAGTTTTGAAAAGTATAAGCTGTTCCAAACGAAATCTAAGACAAAAAGTAATCTATAGTCTTCAATGACCATATAGAAATCAACAGCAACGAAATTAGGCCATCTGTTCGATGAAAATCTCGGAAAATTTTCAATCATTGAAATAAGAGGAACTGAATTATGAACGCAAGCATCTGTGCTATTTGGATCAGTTGGGAAGAAGTTCATAAGAAGCAGCGATCTAGATGTTGTGTTTAGTGGCAAAGACTCAGCTCGATTGATAATCGAGTTCATCTTCATCCCCTCATCACCATCTGTAGATTAGCTCATTAATCAGTAACAAATTAGCTTACGATGGATTGAAATTTTCATAACCAGCTAGCTCATGTTTTATTAATTACTTACATTGGCTTTCAATCAAATAGTTCCACTGGTAAGAAATTCCCTCTGAGGCTTCTTTACTCTTCTTTGAAGTGAAGACTAGCAGCCTATGATTCTTATTGATCATTTCACTTATTGAAGGCCAATCCTCGCCATTTTTGGGCATTTCTGATGAGGGAAAGAAGAACTTAGACAAGCCTGAAGCGTTAAACACCTTTGTTAAGCCTTGAGGGGAGTTTACATAATCCTCAATGAATATGGTGATGACTTCTGAAGGGTTTATACTAAGGAACTTTTCTATCTCTTTTAGAGCATTGATGGCCGGTTGCTGATGAAAATAGAAACCAAATCAGCTTAGATTTGCATTAAATGTAATCCAATATTCAATAGATCAAATTAAGATTTCGTTTGGGACGATTTTTTTATTGTTTCTTAAAGTAGCTTTTAGTTAAAAAATTATATTTTTATACTAGAAAGCTGCTTTAAGAAGCAGTAAAAAAACCGTCTCAAACTAATGCTTCGTTTGGGATGACTTTCTTATTCCTCAAAGTAGTTTTTTAGTATAAAAATTATTTCAAGAAACAGTAAGAAAGTCATCTCAAATGAAATCTAGAAGGCTCAAAGGAGATGAGAAGTACTGACAAAGGCAGTGAAGTTGAAACAAATGCCATCAATGGAGTGGCACAGCCAAATATCATTCTGGAAATCATACATATCCAACATCAAGCCTCTAATACCGTTCTACACCCACAAACAAATAAATAGAGGAGTTAGGAATGTGATTATTTCAGAGCTTTGATGCATTCACAACGGCGGAGAGAGGAGGGGGCCTGCGGGGGCACGTGCCCCCTCCGAAAAAAAAAAATTGCTGTTTAAGGATTGGAGGGATTGGCGGTGCAAATTTTGGAAATTATAACAGAGATTATGACATGACATATTAGTATTAGGTTACCTTCAATGATTCCAAATAAAAAAAAAAACGCAAAGCTTTCGCGTAAATTTCTTCCCGTCGCTGGCGTTGCAGATTTCCTCTGCTCACGGAACCAGCCTTCCGCCGGTGCGATCGCCGTCGGCCAGTGCGTCCGCCATCCGCGCTTTCCCATTTTGCTCACAGCGGCTGAGCGGCAGCTGCCATCTTGGATCAGGCCGGCTACACAGGTAATGAACTTAAATATATATTTTTTGTTATTTTATTTTCTATCCTTTTGATTTTGATTATAAGTTATTTTTATACCTAAATTAATAACTTTATTTACTGAAAATGACTGTCCGTGTACTGTTTAGGATAAAAAAAAAAAGAATTTGAATTTGTTTGTTCTAATCAAAATATTGTGTAAAAATTTTATTTAGTCTACTGTTTAATGTTTTCTTATTTCAATACATAATGTAGTTTCTAGTTTACTAGTTTGGGATAGCAAAAAAAAAATCAGGAATATGAATTGTTTGTTTACCTTATTAGAATAACCAAAGATAATTTGCTTTGTGCTTTATTTTTATAATTAATTTATAATTTTTATGTTTAATATAGTTTATGAATCTAAACTTACGTAAAGATTATGAAAAAATATTTTAAAAAGTACTCAAAATCTTCCGTATCAACTCTACTAATAGAGAATACATAAAATAAGGATGATGAATTGTAGAAAGAGGAGGCCTGAGCGTTTGCCCTTTAGGCCAGCGGAGCAAGAAGCCGAAGAGAACAGGGAAGAATACAGGGAAAACTCTTTGTAGTATATTAATTATATTATGTGAAGATGTATAGAGTATAAACAGGGAAAAAGACATAAAGAAAGTACATTGTAGGCAACGGTACAAATCTTAGACCCACTAATAACATTACACGTGTATAGCTGTTAACATGAATAAAATAAAAGAAATTTTAAATTGTATTGACAATGATGTTATCATTCAGTTATTTCAAAATATGAAGTATAAATTATAAGTGTATTTCATTTTATATTTAGTAGTTTGTTTTTTAAATCAAAATTTTTAAAATTGCCTATACTGATCTCAAGACCGGATGAGAAAAGTTGAGAGAAGATTTTAATAAAATAATTTAGGCCCCCTCTCAATAAATTTTCTAGCTCCGCCACTGTGCATTCATATTTTATAATGTTAAAATATTCAGTATTTAATATATATTATCTAACACATAATACACGTCAAAAATACAGTAAAAATATAATAATTGACACGTGTTATTGGTTATGTGAGATAACAATGATGTAATTACGGCAAAATTTTCGAAACAAGCTCATTTTATGTGACATTTAACGGAATGAGCAGGTTTTTAAAAAAATTTAAAAAGCATCTAATGCGCCAGAATGTTTCGCGCATTTATAGAATGCGCCATTATAGTTGGCGCATTCAAAGAATGCGCTATTTGATTAAGAGCATTCTTCAGTTTCACGTAGAATGCGCGTTATAATCCGGCGCATTCTTTGAATTTATAAATTTTCGTTGTATGCGATTTGATTTCTCCGTATTCAATGCCACACGTTAATGATTGGACTGAAAAACATGATAATAGAAGAGAAATTGGAGGTTCGTTTTCTATGGTTTTCAGTGCCCATGATAAATTTTCGTGTCTGCTGCTTGATTTCTGAGATGTTTGGGATCTCAGTTTGATTCTGGTCTTTGAATCCCTTCATCAACGTACTGTCGGATCTCTTCCTCAGTGTTTTTTAGCATGTATTTGTTCCTTAAGTAATTTTTTTTTGTATTGAATGGTTTTGCTGGAATATAGTTGGGGTTTTTTTTTTTGGTCTGCATTAGGTATTGTACTTGCCTATGCAGGCAAGGTTTTTACTTGTAATTATCTTTACATGTAATATCTTTATTTTTTTTTACAGTAATAGTTAGGCTTATGCTCCCAATTTTCACCAAAAAAAAAAAAAACCAACGATGAACAATCAGAAGAATGCGCCGAAAAGCTTGGCGCATTCAGAAGAATGCGCCGAAGCATTAAGCGCATTCTTCTGATGCGCGAAACGGTACCACACATTCTTAGACTACGTTGTTTACTTTGGCGAATTGGCTCTAATTTAAATTATTCCAAAATTCTGCTCTTTTCGCGAAATTAAACATGATTCATGCTGCTTCCGAAAATTTTGCCTGTAATTACGAAAACTAAAAAAAAAACTTTTAATTTTAAAATAGGCAATTTCAATATATTTTTTATAAATAATTTTCTTATAGAACTATTGTGTACCTTTTATTTTGTTACAAGAATAAAATATATGATTATGTAGTGAAATTCTCCTTATAAAAATAAAATTAAACTCACTTAATAGTTGGAATTTTTTAGAAACTCCAAAGTTAAGTGTGCTCGTATATGAGCAGTCCTGTGTAGGTGACCGCCTAGAAAGTTACACCAATGAGAAGAAATTATGAGGTTATTCAGCCAAAACGGATAATATTTTCATGATTGAAATTAGTTTTGGCTGTTACAAATAGTATTAGATCAACGATAAACTAACCGGAAGTTGGTACTTAGTGCTCCTATATGGCGGATGATTTTGAGCAAAGCAATTTGATAAGGACGTTAAAGTTGACTATACTCTTATAAAAACACTACTAGGATGGGTCATCTACAGGAGAGATTATTACATGCGTCGCCCGGAGGCGAATCCAGACGCGACATATCACCCGGATGCACCGGGCCTCGGGTGACGTGGCGCGTCCAGATTTACCTCCGGACGATGCACGTAATAATTTTCCCATCTATAGGGCTGTTATATATATGAATTAAATTATATTTGTTTTATGTATGTAATGTTTGCAATTATTAAATCATCTTTTAATTTCTAAGATATTTATCTATTTCTATTTTATTTATTAAAAAGACAGACTATTCAAACTAATTATGCCGTTTTTAATGCACATTAAAGGTAAGATATCTAAAGAGATTTTTGTATTAATTAATGAACTTAAAAATAATAACAGAAGAGATAGAGAAGCTTACATTGAGCTGGGAGGTGATGGAATCGTCCTGATTTGTTGGTGCAAGTAAGACGGATCCAACGGCTGGTTTTGCTCCGGAAATTGCATAGGAGTTGTGGGTCGTTAGCCATGAATATTTGTTAAACGGCAAGCTTTTTTCCTAAAAATTCCAAATGAATTATTGTTAAGCAATATATATATATCAAATAAAAATAAAATAAAATAGGAAAATTTTGACTTGATTCAGGAATCTTTTGGAACAGCTTTCTTATTACTTTCTAGAATAACTTTCGAATACAAATATTTTTTGAAATCAACGAAAAAATATAAAAAATTGTCTCAAATGAATCCTCAATATATCAATTAGTAAAATTATTAGCCATAAACGCATTTTAATTGAAAAGTATATATAGGAATTTACTTATTTGCAAACTGTTTCATATTTTCTAAATTATGAAAAAAGAGATTTTTATATTTAATAATTAAGCATAATAGTATAATACTCACTCTAAATAAACAGCAAAAAAACAAAGTTTAAGAGATAATTAATCCTTGCCATAAATTTAGGATCCATAGGCATAACTCTCATGCATTTAGCGCTGCAAGTATTACAATGGAAGCCGCAGCCACAGTTCTCTCCAGCTGAGCATCTATCCCCTTCCTGCTTTAAGATTAACGCACTACTATCATTCCATCAGAAGAAAAATAATTGACGAAGAAGAAGAAGAAGAAGAAGAAGAACCTGCAGCAGTGCGTTGCAGAGCAGAGCTATGTTGATAAGCAGCAACATGAGCGTAAATAGCGTCTGTTTGACAGAAAAATGTATAGAGTGAGATCAGAGAGAGGGAGAGGAGATCAGAGAACAGAAAGGAATTCTAAGGAGCTGATCAGATAATTGAAATGGAAATAGAAAGAAAGAATTAATGGTACTATACCTTCATCTTAGTATATTTCTATTTCTCCTCTCTTTAGCACACTCTCTTTCGTCTCTTCGCTTGTGCTAAAGAGAGGAAGGCGAGAAGAGTTGACTTCTTAAAGTCTGGAAAAAAGGTTGACCGTTTCTTTAATAGGAAATAATTGGGATATGATATCATTATTCAGAAGATGATAAATTTTTTGGCAATTATATAGGGGCGGATCTGGGGTTATAGTCGACGTTGGTTGATCATTTTTAACATCTCTAATTCAAAACCGAACATGAGATTTTGGTTTCATTCGGCTCCTTTATGGAAGATCTATGTATTCTCACCAGAGAAAAAATGAGATCCATAACATCTATGTCAGCTTTTTTTACGAATGCATCTAAAGCTACTTGCTTTTTAGATGATCCCTCTAGAAGAGGGGGATTCTATCAAATCTTTCTAGTCTCTAGTCTAGTTACTTCGTTCCCTATTTCTTTTCTACTCGTGGGATCCTAAGGAAAATAATTTTGTTTCTACCGAGCTGAAACAAGAAGCCGAGGGTTCTAGTAAACCAAAACCATCATTTTCTAGCTATTTGGCTTCAATCTCCCCCTTTTTCAGCGCAAAAATTGAAGATTTAGTTACAATTGAAAGTTTTGTACTATCATCCAGGGCGGCAAAAAATTTAGAGATTTTTTTTTCTAGCTTGACCCTATTTGTTCATATCTTTGATCATTGTACGCTTCGCAGATATATCGAGGGTCCAAGGGGGCAACGCCCCCTAGCGGGGTTTCCAGGGGCGCTTCTCAGAATAAATTTTGGTTGTAAGGATATTTTTGAATTTTTTTTACTATTTCTTTTTGTATTTAATTCATCGTTTGATTAAGCGGGGGC